ACCATCGACTATATACTACAATATATACTATATAGTACAATGGAAGATATTTGGTTTGGTTCCCGTAACCAACCTGAACAATGGTTTTACCCAATGGAACAAATTCATTTTTGTTGAAATCTCTTAAGATTATGTCTGGATTCATTAAAGGTCTGTGTTTTGGAAAAAACTTGGAAAAGTTACTTTTTGACATCAAAGATCTGCTCCTGTATCTAGTTCAAACGGAATAGTTTTCCCATTTATTTTTATGTTTAACATAATTTTCCTAAATTTATCTTCTGAGGTATTCATAGAACAAATGTCAAAAACATTAGTTTCCTTATAGAGGGATCTAACAGAATTGTTCATATTTTGTTGTAGAAATATTTCACTTTGATCTTCGAACGAGTCTGTTATTTGTTTTACATTTCTTGAAGTAGTGTTAAATGTAGTCTTATTTTGTCTTTGCAATTTGATAGGTGCATTAGGATTCCTAAAACAAATCTTTGCTAGATGCCCTATTTTTTTACAGAAGTTACATGTTGTATTTTTGTGTTTGCATTCAGATATGTATTCATGTAACTCTCCACAACGGTAACATTGTTTAAGATTGGTACTGTTTTTAGGTTTTTGAAAACTTTTCTGTTGTACAACAGTTGTACAACATTTAAGTTAACTGGCAATTCATTGTTTTCATGATTGAATTTTGATTGGATTGTTATTGAATCGTTTTGAGCCTTTTCAATTACTTGAGCCATGTCTACAGCTTTTTCAAAACTCATATCACTGTCACTTAGAGTAATTAATCTTGTCTGTATTTTTTCATCCCTTAGCCCGAGTATGAATTGGTTTCTCAGGGCTTTTGACAGAAATGTGCCGAAATTACAATATCTAGACAACTTTCTAAGATCCAATGAAAATTCAGAAACGTTTTCTCCTTCATATTGGTGTCTACAATGAAATTCGAATGTCTCTGATACTTCATTTGGTTTCGGTGTAAAATGTGAATTAAGAGTTTGAACTAATTCAGCATAGGATTTAGTACAGGATGCAATATATCCCTAAGTTTACTGTAAGTGTCTGATCCAATACAGTGAAGTAACGTAATTTTCTTTTTATCTTCCGAAATGTTGTTATAAATGAATGATATCTCTAGTCTTTCCATATACATTTCCCATGTTTCATATCTTTCATTAAAGGGTCCAATCAATGCTGAGTTAATCATTTGAATGTTTTGAGAGGTATTTGAATTACTTGTACTCACCTCCATCGTCGCCAAATTGTTCTGTATGTAATTAGAACAAATAATAAATGTATTTGTCAAAGTACAATTTTAACCAACTTTATTCAACACAAATTAAAAACAAAGTGAACAAGTAAACATTATAACCAGCTGATAATAGTTATAGGTAAAGGTAGACATTTAGGATGTAACACCAAGCAATGAAGGAATACAGCCATTACATATGCATTTATATAACGATGTACAAAGTGGCAAATAATTACAAGTACATGATTCTACAAGTATGTGACCGTTTAAACAGAATGAATCCATAAGTCACTATAAACTGGACCCAGCTTTACCTATTCATTGGGATTTTAATGATGATCCTGACTAAAGAACAGTCGATTTTAGTTGTAACAAGACTAATCACTCATCTAACAATCACCTTAAAGTATTACTTTCTCACCCTATACATAGTGTATGGAGAAAGTAGTGTTTAGTCAAAATTTTTTACTTTTGAGTGGATTTATCTGTTTTTGATACCCCTGAACCCAAAAAATTTGGTTTAAAAGTGATGTATTGTCTTGTGTGTGTAGATGTGTACAGAGCTGAATACCTGTAGTGGATTTTGATGAAAATTGGTATGTAGGTACTAAATCAAATCAAGTCAGTTTTATTTCCACAATATATACAAAATTTACAATTTTAAAAAAAATACGAATATAGGCCTATAGTCTTGAAGCATTATACAGAACATTGTTTACGTAAAATAATTCAAGTAAAATTAAATTTATTAATAGTATAAACTTAAATACTAGTTGAAATATGCTTGCTCCGGCTAGAATAATAACCAAGGTAATGGAAATGAGTCTACATAGATCTCAGTGGTCTGTGCGTATACTCGAGTTGTTAAAAATTTTATTTTTTTGAGCTAATTTGCAATTGAAGACAAATTTTTAATTAAATAAAAATTTACTATATGCTATGGGAACGTGATTTAAAGACTATATACAAAATGGGAGGTAAGGTAATATTCATTTAAATTGTTATCAACAGAATTGTTTAACGGGGAAGCCAATAAATAAAATGTAAAAGAATTAACTAATTAATTGAACACTAATCCTTGGTATCCTCACTCTCCAGGTCATTGTTTCATTTTTTCAAATTTTTTATTTTTAATGTTGATGTTTCTATAAAAACCCAAATAATAACGGGAAAATCGGATTAAAACTTTTATTCCCTGAAATTTTGAACTGGTACAAATCCCGCCGTTCAAAAGTTATTTTCCCATAAAAATACCCCATAAAAACAAAAGTATAGGATTTTAGGAAAAAAGCTAGTTTTAATTAAAATAAAAATTGTTATAATCTATATATTATTCTTTTAATTTCTAAACAAAATAGTGCAATTGGTGTAACAATTACGGTTAAAAAGCTATTGCAACTTTTGTGGTTTTAGCGAATTTCCTATATATGGAATAAGGCACTGATTTACTTTTTTGTTTTTGAGGCCAAAAACTCCATCCAGATTCATATTTATGTGTGCCCGTTAGCGCAATAACTCTAGCAAAATTGATCCGATTTTCATTAAATTTGGTACAAACGTGTGTAAACCTACGTTTATTCAAACGAGTTTGCTAACTAGCATAATCGGACTATGGAAACTGAGGTTTATGGGGTAAAAATTTATTTTTCCCATTTTCAACCCTAAAAACACAAAATTTCAAAAATAAATAATTTTGTACCTACCGTATGTTGAAGCGTTGTTGCCCATTTAGTCCCATGTTATTCTTATGGGAAATAAACTGTTGTTTGCTTGTTTATGGATATATTTTAATGAAATTTGCCAATTTTGTTTACTTCATTAAGCTATCAACATTTCAATAAAAAAAACACCTCAATATCTTCCCCGTTGCAGCAAACTAAGTACTCACTAAAAATCTTATTTAAATAGGAAATAAATCTGACAATATTTAGGGAATATTTTAGTATAAATCAAGCCGGGTAAATTAAAATTCATTTAATCTGCAGGTTTATGCTTTTTTTTTGCAAGCTTATGGGAGAAAGTATGTGCAATGAATTGTATTCCTGAGTATGTGTCAGATTGCTCTGATACCGTTTTTTTATATAGGCCTACCTTATTTGCACCAAGGTCTCACTAGAAAAACAGCCATGCTGCAGCGCGGGTAGCGCGTGGATAGTTGTACGAGTAATGTTATATCTATGGTTGTACTAAAATCTAAAATCATACCATTTAAAAATCTGACAAACAGCCAGTTTATTTACTTAAACATATGGGATATGGCAAAAAGGCAGTGAATCTATCCACTAATGTGACGTCATGGATCCTGCCGCATGGCCTGTTTTTTCTAGTTTCTAGTGGGGCCTTATGGTTGCACCCCATCTCGCAATATTTATTTAGTGATAAAGTGATGATCGTGCCAACATAACATTAAAGGGTCAACATGATCTGTTTGATAATCCGCCTTTTTTACACCTAGCATTCATATATTCATCTTAAATTACTCAAGTACGATAATGGTACGATGCTGCCTCGGTGAAGTTAATTAGTGGGGGTGAAAAATCACATCGCAAGTAAAATTACCTTACCACCAGGGTAATGAATCAAGGAATTTGCAATTAATTCACCTAACAAATTAAATTTACGTGCCACTGACCTCAATATCTTTCAAAGGAAATTCACGTGTGTAGATTCTAGAAATTAGTGCTACAGTATCCCATACTCTTTTGCTTAAAAGGAGACCACATACTTAGTCACATAGACCCAAACAAAACAAGAAACAAACTACTTCACTTATAGATTAGGAGCAGCAGAAGTTGAAGTGATTTGATTACTGAGCATGCACACCGATATATACTGTACCACACATCTATGTTTTTAACTAACAACAAAAAATAAAAATTATCTCTTAAAAAGAACATGTTTGCTAATGGACAACTATAGACAACATTGAGGTCTCATGGGTAAAAAAAAATACCAACCAAGACCGCCGCGTCGGCAATAGATAAAAATACCCCCGCCGCAGCAAACCTGCCGACTAAGCGAATTTCCATTTGTCTGAATTGATTTTCAGTTAAATATATTTTATAACATTAGGTTTAACGAGTACCTAGGTTTGCTGCTACAAGGAAACTAATAAAGTGTGTTTTTGAGTAAAATATTGATAGCTTAGTACAAAATAAATAAATTTGCCAAGTTTGATCAAAATATATCCATAAACAAGCAAACTACAACATTTGACAATATTCTCCATAAGAATAACATGGGAATTTTAAATTTACAATTTTTTAAATTTTCTCCGTTACTAATAATCGAACAAAAATACTTTTATATACTAAATTATTTGTTTTTTTAAGCTCTTTAAAAAGGTCCAAAGAGAAATCGGGAAATTTTGTGTTTTGAGGGTCAAAAGTGAGAAAACCCAATTTTTACCCCATAAAACCCCCCGTAAAGCCCCGTTCCCATGGTCCGATCGTGCTGGTTCGCGAACTCATTCAAGTTTATCCCGCTTTACACCTTTAAACCAAATTTCATCAAAATCGGACAAAAATTACTCAAGTTATCGCGTTCACGGACGTATATATATATATATATATATATATATATATATATAAGTCTATATATATATACATATATAAAAATTTGAACGAATGGTGTTTTTGGCCTCTGGGGACATCAAAATGAAAAAGTAAATCGGTCCCGGGTCTAGGTCTTACCGTGCCACCTACGGTAATAGCTACTTCCCTATAGGGAAATTCGCTAAAAGGAGTAACAATAAAACTTAACCTAATCGGCTGCCGGTCTGTCTGTCTAGCGTCAGCGTAGCGTTTGTCAATAATTACCTTATTTTGATTTTTGAATATATTTTATTACAACTAACAAAAACTCTACATAATTTAGCATGTTTTATCATGTAAGTAAGCTTGCAAATTGGCACCGATAAATAGGCTAAGAGTTTTCAATGTACCTAATTATCTCATGTAGGCCTAGGCCTATGCTAAGTTAATTGATTCAATGTCTAGACCTGGGCTATTCAGTCCTTTATAAAAATATAAAAAAACATTTGACCCAATAGGTTATTTATATTTATGCCTATATTAGAACAATATTAATATATACAAGGACTTGAATAACTAAGTTTGTTACAATCCTACTTATTTGGTTAGCTTTTTGGTCAGGCTAAGTTTGGTTACTGATATTTTTATATTTGAAAATATGATGGAGTCCAATAACGAAGTTTTGTCAAAGAAATTTGGCAGTTTAGCAAAAAAATACAGCGTAATACCTATAGGTATATTCACAAGATAAAGGACATGTTCATGAACACAATAGTATCAAGGTCATATACCAGGAACTGTGGTCATACAAAAGGGGCCTAAAATGAAAAACCACCCATGTTAAAATCTATTGGTGGCTTTTTTGCGGAAAAATACGACCGCGTAGCGTAATAACTATATAGTCGCAAGATAAAGGACGTACTTTCACACACACAAGATGAATTTAGGCAGCATGTTAGTCATTAAGTTTTAAAAGGGTTGCCACCTTTGGATAGGAAAAAGAAAATCGGGATGAGCTCCCTCCCCTCAGGAAAAACATGGATTAAAGGGTCTGGAGTCGGGACTGTCCCGACAAGATCGGGACTCGTGTCAATCCTGAGTTTAGCATTAAGCTACTTGAAGTTGCGAGACCCCCGAGATGCAAGCACTTTGTGTAAATTACTTTATGGGGAGGAGGAGCTTGAATCAATTATCAATCATTAAGATGGGGACGCCACATAGGTGCATATTTTAACCCAAATATGAGCGAAGGATGAGTGTAGAATGGTGTGTGATGACCTGTGTAGCTTTGTTACTGACTAAGATCAGCTGTTTCATTAGCCAGGATCATTTATTTAAAGGCCAATGATCAGGAACAGCTGGGTCCAGTTTCGAACCATCAAAAAGCTACTGACTTTTCTCAGGATCGAACCGGCGACCTTTTGAATAGTAGGCGAGCACTATAACCACTCAGCTACCCAGTCCAGTTGTTTTTGAGGCTCAGTGGTTGCAACTGTGGGGCTGGAGAGTAGTGCTCATCCGTCTCTCTCTAAAATCGAGCGGTCCCACTCTCCAGCAGCTGTTAAATCACTCTCCCTGCCCTCCATGGGTTGCTACTTCTTCTGCATTAAGTCATCAGGCTGATTTCTTAACAGCGATCAGTAAGTGGTGCAGCAAAGGAATGTTGTCTACCCTATTTCAATCCGCTGATGTAGTGTTCCTGTCTCAAACAAGATATAGAGACTTTAAGTGTAAAAAAAAAAACATTCTTTTTACAAAAAAGTGTAAATATATATAGCCTACTTGCATATTATTTCAGATATCTCTTGAGCATGAGATCCTGCTTCACCCACGCTATTTTGGACCTCAACTCCATGAAACAGTGAAACAGAAACTCTACACAGAAGTTGAAGGTACTTGTACAGGAAAGTAAGTCACTGTTTATTTCTTACACATTTATTTAAATCCAGGGCTATGAATTAATGATGCTATCTTTCTACCAAAAATGATTGACGTTAGATTGTAACAAGACCAGGGTTTGGACAGTTCCCTTTCAAAATGTAAAAAATGCCACTGGCATAAAAACACAAAATAAAAATAAAACATTGGAGTTATTGGAGTATAAGCCTAACTGTACCTACTTATTGATTATTTGATTGATTATTGAAGACATTTTATGACTTGTAATGTTCCAGATATGGGTTTGTCATCGCAGTTACAACAATAGACAGTATTGGAGCAGGTATTATCCAGCCTGGACAGGGCTTTGTCGTCTATCCTGTCAAATACAAGGCCATTGTTTTCAGACCTTTTAAAGGCGAAGTCCTCGATGGAGTAGTAACCCAAGTCAATAAAGTAAGTACTAATTGGTCTGTGACAAGTGAATTTGTGTTTTTAAAATTATTAATTGTTGCTGGAGTGTATTTTTGTGGATTATTTTTATGAAAAAAGGATATTATGTTTTGAATAATTTTTATTAGACCTAGGGCCTATTCCGTTTTTTTACTGAAAGCAGCATCTGATATCTATTGAGTCGTAAGTTAATTTATAGAAAAAACAATAATTGCAGTGCTTTAGACTGTTACTTGGATTTGCTTGGTTTAAACAGACATTTGCCTACGACCCATACATAGGCCTACTGTTTTGTACGTCACATGTACATACATATGTAAAAACCCCTGTTTGTACAACACTGTTCAGATGTTATTGCTGTATTTTTTTGCTGTTTGTTCTCTATGTATTATAGTGATTCATTGATGGATTTAAAGCTTTTTGAGTGTAGTAGTTGTAACAGCAGTGTATATTTATTAAATTATAGCAAACTTAATATTCTATTTTTTTTTTAGGTTGGAATGTTTGCTGAAATTGGCCCACTTTCCTGTTTTATTTCCCATCATGTAAGTTTTTGAGATTTTTCATTTTTTATGTCAGAGATATTGCAACAATTGGTTGTAGGCTATATTGCATTAGCTTTTTTTCCTATACTGAGATTTTTGTTCCTCCTCTTAGCAGTTTCTTGTTTGAGAGGTTGAATGTATAATGTCATTAACAATTAATTAACATAACGGTGATACAATAGGAAATTTCCCCTTCTTCAAATGACATCTAACTTAAAGCTGCTGACAAACACATAGGATTCAAGATAATATTAAGTTTGTTTAAGTGTGTAGATCATTTAAACCATTGACCCAGTGTCGCACTTTGTACTAGCATCTAGACTACTTCCTTTACAGGTTAAGTGTAAGAAAGGGCCATGTGGCCCTAACTTTGTCTGTGTAAATTAACAATTTTTCATTTCATTTCATTTTCCTTGTTACTGTTGATAATTAAGTACTTTTTATCCTTCCGTATTTGTTATTTTTAACTTTTATTCTGTTTCCAGTCAATCCCTGCAGACATGCAGTTCTGTCCGAACTTCAATCCTCCGTGTTACAAGTCAAAAGATGAGGTAAAAATACTAATTATCTGTCATTAAAGGATATTTTTGATTAATGTACAAACCTTAGGATTTTGTTTACAGTATTTCATTATAGTGTTAACCGAGCACCATGGAAGTTACATAGTAAAGAATAAAGTATAATTAATTAACTTATTGATTACTGATTGTCAATAGTAAGATCCTTCCAAACAGGAATAACAGCTCGTAAATGAGCCATTGTCCTTTTTCTGCCACAGACTGTGAGCCAATTCATTCTTTATAGCATAGATTGAAGGCTCGTTTATAAGCCGTTGATTGTATTTAACTAAATTGATTGAACTGTCCATGAGCATAAATATTTTCTACTTCAATTCTACATTTCAATCTACTAGAAGGAACGGAGATTACATAAATCATGTGGTCTTATTATGTAGATGACCTTAAAGTAGCAGTACTATTCCTGTTCAGGACAAGGCCCCACTAGAAAAAACAGGCCATGCTGCAGCACGGACAGCGCAACACTACGTCACAGTGGTGGATAGTTGTACTAAACTCTTACCATTAAAATCTTACAAACAGCCAGCTTGTTTATTTACCTAAAACATATGGGAATGGTGGCAATGAATTTATCAATGAAATCCATCCACTACCGGTAGTGTGACGTCATGCATCCTGCAGTATGGCCTGTTTTTCTAGTGGGGCCTTGTTCAGGAGGTCAAAATACATAAATAACAATTGGTTTCAGACCATTACTCAAATAAAAAATAAATTGATTGGTTATTTTTTTTCAAACAGTTTTGAGTTATGTTCAGTATTTTTGTACTTTACAACTAACATTTGTTTAGGTATATCATTATTTATCATTATTGTTATGTTGTGCAGGATGTTGTTATTCAAGAAGATGATGACATAAGACTGAAAATAGTAGGAACTCGAGTAGATGCTTCTGGAATTGTGAGTATTGAAATATTGCAATTAAATTAATTGCATATTCTTACTGTTTTACGTGACTTTTGTCGATTCATGAACATTCTAATGATTTTATAAGTATGATTTTACTAGCGGAAAGCAGGTGTAACTGAACGGGAAAGAGTTCACACCAGCACAAGAAGCACACAAAAATTACTCTATGTATAGAACATGTCATTGTTGATTTGTTTCTTGTGCCAGAGTTAACTCCTTTCGATTCAAGAAAGTCTGTTATCCTAACCAAAATCCTTCAAACATAAACCTTGGTGCTACATGTTACTCCCTCAACCTGATATGCCAAACAATATTGAATAAGAGTATTATGAGGTGTATTAACTAAATAATCCCTGCTGAATTGACACGATGTTATATAGCATGATTTGACGCTCACTGCAGAACCAAAAATGGGTGATTATAAAATACAATATCATATCCATTTCTCCCACCAGTTAGGAGCTGCCTATGAGCCCTTTCACAGGACAGTGGCTCCTCGCACAATTGCTAACTGGCAACCGCAGTGGCAGTAACTCGTTGCCGGGCATTGAATTAAATGGGAGCCTTCAGACGAAGCCACTACTGGCCGCCACCACGGAACCGTGCGCATAAACTATACTGGGGTAAGACAGTTTACGTGCAGAGGCAGACGCACTTGTGCTAGTTGTGGAGTGGTTTTGTGTTATGTTTGGTTTGTGTTGTGTTTGTGTTAAAACACCGTCATAACCAGCATTAAAACAGATTTGTATAACTTAAAAGTTCATCAATTGACTTTTTGGACATCCGGATATAGTTTAAAAAAACCTTTTTTGTCGGCACACAGTTTTTCAAGCGTTAAATAAAGGCCATTGTCCTTCCTGGAGGTTAGAATTGGATGGACATGGAACATACGCCTGTGTCTTCGCCTTATTTTCTCGATTAGTAACGCGAGAAGGAGAAGATGTTCATTGCTCGTCAGCATCTTCTCAAAACTAGTTGTACGGGGGCTATCGGTGGAGTCAGTTGCCTGTACCATCAACTGCAGTTTCCCGGCCGGTAACCAGAGGCAATTACAAGTGGTAGCCAACAGTAGCCTTGTGAATGGCCCTATGGAATGCATTCATCATACCCACTCACTTTTTGTGTAAAACATTAAAAAATTACTTAATTACATTAAAATCTCTTTTTCAGTTTGCCATTGGAACCTTGATGGATGATTACCTTGGTAAGTATATGAATCTCTATTCGAGTTGTCCCAAAAACCTTGAGAGTAAATCACTTAAGATTTTAGTTTATAAAAATCTAAATACAAGTTAATTCATGGTATTTATGTAAAATTTCAAAAGCATACAAGTAGTATCAGTATCCTTGGTGGTTATTTTGGATACAGTATTCTATTAAATTCTAGCTGATGACTATTACTTAAGAGCTCATAATTCATACTTTTACGTTAAGATTATCACTATAAATTCAAATACTTCTTTGCTTCAGTTGTTAAATAACAAGTATTTTTTGTGATTTTGCTGAAATCTTTTGCACATTAGACAATTAAACAGTCTCAGTTTACATACATAATAATCCTTATAATACTGTACAAACGATGTGTCAAAATTAAGCATTTTTTGTGTAGACGCCCCAATTGTCTTTCACCAATTCCTGTAATAAAAGTCCTCGGGCTTTGTCCCAAAGGCCATCAAAATCCCAATGTATTTCTTATGAAGAAAAGATTTTGTTTACTTAAATAGACGAATAATTTGTACTTATTACAGCTGTTCATAGTAAACACATGATACATACGAGAGCGTTCGTTTTCATTGTGAGTTAGTTTTTAGTTTCCATAACTGGAGAGCGTTCGTTTTCAGGATGAGTTTGTTTTCAGTTTCGTTGGAGTGATTGATTACCGGTACATTATCTTTGAGTTGACTCTTTTAAGACATCGGAAATTATGACTGTTATTCGTTTTTATATAGCACCTTTAATATTTTGCAATTGCTCGAATTCGAGCAAAAGGCACTAGTAATTATTATTAATCTAACCCTTTCTGCCTTCTTTATGTTTAAATTAACGAATGATATAATTATAGTTCGGCCGCTTAGAAAACGACCTGCGCACTAATGCTAAACCAATGCTGGAGGAGGTCGCTTTCTAAGCGGCCGAACTATGGTAGTGAAATTTTCCTTCAATAATGCTGGTAAAAATGTAGTCAATATCCTCAAGACATAATTTTACACATAACTAACATCATAGACAAAAGGAATTAAATATATACCGTCAGCTGTGCTGCGGTTACCATTGATTCTGGCGCACACCGCTTGGAGCGCTGTGTAGTTAGCAAGAAACTACACGGCGCTCCAAGCGGTGTGCGCCAGAACCTATGGTAACCATGGTAACCGTAGCACGGCTGACAGTCTATATTTAATTCTTTTTGTCAATGCTAACATTTATTTCATTTTATGATCTTATTTTTTATTTTTATATATTTTTAGGGTTGGTGTGCAACAGCTAAGATGGGCCAAAAACAGCTGTACTGATCAATCTCAACTGGATGCATTATTTTACAATACAACTATTTTTTACCAAACAATTCTTTGAATTTATTTCTCCTCTCACCATCTTGTTTAACCATTTTGAGCTAATTCTTCAACCTGTAGAGTGTATGTGTATAATTAATGAAAAATTAAGAGAGAAAATGAATAAGCCATGTTAACAAGAAGAAGAAGAACCATAAATAAACAATGTTTAGTTTTACAATAATGAATTGTTTAACATGATCAGCTGTTGTAATTATTTATATACTTATATATTGTACAAGCTTTGACTATTACAAGCTAGAAAATATTAGCTTTGAATATTGATTCTAAACAAAATTGTGACAGATTGTGCTTATCTAAATTACTAATTTCTGTTAAATACACAAACCTTTTTGTCATGACAAACTAGTGGAATGACTTTTCGCGAGCTATAGCAACTAAGACTAAGACCCATAAAGTTGGTCAGCAACAAAAATTAAGGTACCTATATTTTTAGTCACTACCTTATTATGAGACTGGCTTACACAACTATTCTTTTTACTTTCTCCCCCTATACATATTATATGGAGAAAATATTGTTTTCTTCAAAATGTTGGAGTTAGAGTTTTGAGTGGATACATCAGTTTTGGGTCCTCCTGAACCCAAAAAAGTGGTTTTCGAAGTGACGTCTGTCCATGTGTGTGTGGATGTGTACAGAGCTATAGACCACACCTGTGGTTCAATTTTGTTGAAACTTGGTAAGTAGTTACTAACCCATGGTATTTCCAGGATTTTTTTGAAATTTTGATTTTTAATGGTGATTTTCCCATAAAAAACTGAAAAATCAAATTTTCTCAAAAATGGCCTGGACGGTTTTGATAAAAATTTAGTATGTTGTAGCCCTTTAAATTATAAACAAAATGGAAGAACTCACATTCCTGTAAAAATTACAGTTCAGAAGTTTTATGTTATTATCCTATTGGAAAAACCATGAAATAAGAGAAAATCGGATTTTAAAAAAAATAGCCGGATTTTTTACACCGCTGGGAACGCCGTGTGGTTACGTAGCGCGTAGACCGTAACTACATGGCGCTCCCAGCGTTGTGCGCCAGAACCTATGGTAACCGCATAACGGCTGACGGTCTATATTTAATTCTTGTTGTCTATGGTAATAGAATTTTAGAACAATAATGAGACTACTTCCCTATTTCCATTCAAAGCATGTTCCAGATTTTACAATTGGATAAGAAGTAGTCTATTTACAGAATCTAAAATCAAGGGATTTAGTTGTCATAACTGTGAAATCACATTCAAGGGAAGTAAGTACAGAATGTCGTGTCATAAGATCACAACGGCAGAGACAAAATACACATCGCAACCTCATGACTTTTTTCACCCTCCTCATATTCCTGTTTGAGTTTGAGATGAATTGTTTCCTAATCTAGAAAAGGAGTAATGAAGTCCTAATAGAATCAACACTTGCACTGGCAGAACCTTTCCTGTCACATTAACAAATTCCAGTATCTATATACACAGTCACCGACCATGCCAAGATTAATCATCTCTTCAATGCTCTTTAAGTCCAATTTAATTCAATTCTTTGATACACATTGCAACACTCTGGGGTGCTATTTTAAGCTGGATAAATGCAAGATGGTTATAAAATGTAGTTAGATTAATGTTTGCTGTTTAATTAGCCAGGACCATTAGTTGAAAGCTGTGTATAGTCAATGTTGAAAGTCAATCGAGGACAGCTGGGTTCAGTTCTGTTTTGTTATAGCATTTGCCCAAGGTCACTTAGTTAGTTAGTAGGAGGATCTCAGTTAGTAGTTTTTCGATCATTCGAAACTGTACCCAGCTTACCTTGGTCATTCAATTAATTTAGGCAAATACGAATTTTATATTATGCTGGGGATGGTCCACACGAATACTGATGGTCATTTTTTAATGAGAGCATATATTATACTTCAGTAAGGTTTTGTTACAGTGTTCATCTAACGCAATGGGAAGGAGAGTATGAGAAGATCTAATTGGCAGCAGATTGTTTCCCGCGATTTCAGCTTACTAGCTAAACAGTTGGACAGCCTGACAACGATGACTTATTTGAGACGTCTAGCGTAATGTCGTGTTTATGTCCTTGTAATATATTTTACTACGATGTACTTACGATTTTCTTTGTCATGTATAGCGATTGTTTTGAAACAATAATAATCATTTAGTTAATCATGACTAAAAGTAGGCAGCCAGGAAAGCCAGCCAAACTGGCAGGCTCTGGTCGAAAACTTGTAAGTGCGTTTAGACCTACATCGGATACTACCCCAGTGGAGGATAACGAATTTACAAAGGCAGCGAAAGAAATCTGTCTTGGTTTGGCTATATTTCGATTCATTTTTGGTCGTGAAGACGAATCTCAGGTTAGTAGATTTACTATTTGGTGCTAAGCTTTTATAAAATAATTTTTACATAGGCTTCACTTACACAATTGGGCTAGTAAGTAGTTAAACTTTGCAACATGGATGACATTGTTTTGTTTACATCAGCCAAACGAAACCAGAGCTTTCAAGGATCTGGCTTCGGTTTTGAAAAGACTTAAAGTGAAATACTGTTCATTTTACCGTAAAGTGCCTAGAAGAAGTTAATTTGTTGGGATCTAATATAATGCCTTGGCCTCTGATCAATATTTTAGGTTAGCCAATGATGCAATTAACTTAACTTGCTAATCTAAAGCTTGTGTCATTATCCATGGTTGGTAGGCATAGTTTTTGCAATAGTATTACCTTAGCATAGCTTGATAGCTACCGCATTGATGTTTGGCACACTAAGTATGCCTACCGTACCTTAAATAGGTGAGAGTTATTTTGGCTGCACTTTACTGTAGGCCCTACACTCTTTCGAATAAAAATATCAATCGATATATCGATTGTTTCATTCGATATATCGTTTGGTGAGTTAGGTAAGGTTAACCTAACCTAGGCCTAACTAACCAAACGATATATCGAATGAAACAATCGAATAATCGATATTTTCATTCAAATGAGTGTAGGACCTAAAGTAAAGTGCAGCCAAAATAACTCTCACCTATTTAAGGTAGGCATACTTAGTGTGCCAAACATCAATGCGGTCCTACACTCTTTCGAATAAAAATATCGATCGATATATCGATTGTTTCATTCGATATATCGTTTGGTTAGTTAGGTAAGGTTAACCTAACCTAACTAACCAAACGATATATCGAATGAAACAATCGAATAATCGATATTTTCATTCAAATGAGTGTAGGATCTAAAGTAAAGTGCAGCCGTTATTTTAAAACCAAAGTATGAGTGTAGTATGAGGGGAGGGGGTTTGTTTCTTTTGGTTTTTTTTTTACCTAGACAAGTGGTTCCATTAACCAGTGCCATTTATTTAAAGCCTAATTTAGGCTATCAAGGACTGCTGGGTCTAATTATTCCATCCGAAAGCTACCTACCAATTCAGTAGTAAGTTTAATATGTTGTAGGGTAGGTTTACGCTATTTTACAAGCCCATATTTAACTTTCATCAGGATCAAACTGATGACCTTTTGATTACCGTTTCAGGCAAGTAGGCTACTTACTATGACCACTATAGCTACCCAACTAAAAGTCCTAGGTTTACAGTTTAAGTAACATATAACCTAAAATTTAACTTAGGCCTAACTTAAAATCATGTCCATCGTAGGCTTCTGAATCTAAACATAACTTAAGGTATTTTTGTATTACCAGGAGGCCACTTTTATATTATTAAAGACAGATTTTTTTAACTCGAGACCAAACTAGCTACATAATTGGAAGGAACATAATTTAATTGACTTACTGTAAAATTTTGACACAATTAAGTTTAGGCCTACAATTATCGACTTTTGAGTTCTACCTCCCAGAAGGCAGCAATGTCGGCGAGGATTGAGTTGAATGCGTCGCCGCTACCAGCTGGCTCATTTACTCCGCCAAGTAGGTATAGCGTGATGCGGCGGTTATGTTTTGTTGGGTCTATGTGTTTATGTTTATGTATGCGGTTATGAGTTTGTAGGACTTTCGTCGTTTCATTATGAATTGAATGATACCAGATGAGTCATCCCTCAGGCAGGACACTGATCCAGATATAGGCGGTGACAGGTGATGCGCACGCTCCGATCAATGACCTGACCTTGGCCCACTTGGAGGGGATTTGGTGTGTGAAAGTATGACTCATCTGGTATCGCTTGATTCATAACAATTACGAGGAAAGTCCTACAAACATATTTATGATAACTCGACCTAACATAACCGAGCAGTGTGCTGTATAAGGGTGACCTCCGGATAATACAAAAATACCAAATATAGTTTACACGTATAAAACTCAGACATACGTACCTAATACAAATCAATATAGACTAGGGCCTAAACTTAATTTACTAAGCTTTGAATTCTCAAGTGAGTGGAATTTTAAGGAATAACTGCTAGGCCTAATTTAGCGTTTAAATTTGATTTTATACAATAAAGTCAAGATGTTTTCTTAATTTTTATGTTGCTTTGTTCACAGTTGCCATGTCTGCAGATAACTTGGCTTAAGTACCTATAGGCTTTCCTGATCATGTTTAAGTCATAAGATGAAGTTTAGGTGGCAGTAGAAAATATTTTATCACTGTAACTTAATCAAAAATGTTTGTAAGTTAAGTTAGATATAAGTTAAATCATAGTTACTGTAAAATCAAAGTCCCAGAGGTGAGTGCATTATCTAATTCCTAAATCACCTAACTCTGAGGATAAATTATCTCATTGAAAAAATAAACAAGACCATAACTTACGCTTATTAACTTAAGCCAACACACACATTTATGATTATTATCCTAAATGAATTTTCTATGTCCATTGAAAAGTCTTGGAACCTATAATACCAGTATATTATTATTTTCTAGAGTCCTCCATTTCACGGATTCAGTCCACACGAGATAAAATTTGCTGCAGATAAATGTTCTATCAGAAGACGACAAGTAGAAAATGAACACAAAGCACGGGGAGTTTTGTTCAACCCATTCATGGTTGGTAAACAACGGACAATACCTTTGTCATCTCCTTTCGGAGGA